AGTGTTTGGATAGAAAGTTGTGACTGTGTTTTCTGTATTTAAAGGCAAAAAGAGATCATTGCTTGCACTTTTAGATTAAATACTTGATCAAGTGTAGAAAGAGATTGGAGCCCAGTACTCCTTCCTTCCCATACTCCAGTTCGGTAGGCTGATGTTCTGATGTTCCCCAGACCAGCTGCTACAACTACACAGTGCATGTTAAGATAACATCAGAGACTTCACTGTGTAGCCTTGTCATTTAAAAAATACATTAATACCTCACATGTTCACCTGGGAAAGGTGGGGAGTTTGGATCTGTGTCAAGCAGACAGAGACAGCCAGTCACTTGCATCTTGAATGCATGAATGGTATTGAAGAAAAGAAAGGTGTCTGCATTAATTTTCTTTGATACTTATTTACATAAGATGTGACTGATTTACTGTGTTTTGGTCTGAACCTGGGATTTGGTTGGTATTCTTTCACTTTGTCAATTCAGATGGGACCTAATGGTGAGGTAGGTCCCCTGCGCAACACTGGCAGCATGTGGCTACTTGTGATCTAAAAATGGATGCCTGGGAGTTGTTACTAATGGAAACTTAAACCTTTACTGACTTCTAGGAGTGCAAAGGTCTGCCCTGATTTTTGAAATGAAAAGAAAACAAGAGATTAAGAGTGTTCACCCTAGAATATCTAAGGAAGTTTCCATGGAAACAGTGTACCTAGCAGTAAGGAGAACTATTTTTCAAAGTACATGACTGACTGCTGAGCTATGTTTGAAGTATAAATTATTAAATAAATAAAAACTTTATGAAAATAGATGTGTAATTACCTTCTGGATACAGTGCTCCGACGGGAATGCCTGAACTTAGAATTACTGTGAAGAACTGAAGCTCTGTCTGCGCAGCCAGGATCCCAGGGCAGTGCTTTTACACCTTTTTTCCCTTTCACTTTAAGGGAAAGGCAGCAGTGCAGAGCTCGGAGGGGGTGCGGGAGCCGAGGGGAGGACCCTTTCCCCCATGGGGGTGGCCTTCCCCCGCTGTGGTCCCAAGCCGAGGGTGCACTCTTGGAACCCCATGTTTGCCCGGACGGCGGCCCGGCCGGACCCCCTGGGAGCAGCGCTTCCTCGAGCTGCCCTGCCTGCCTGCCATGGACCTTTCCCTGGGACACGGCGGGTGGATGATTTCACGGGGAAGATACGGAGAACATACGGGGAGTTAGGGACAGGCCGCGAGCTGGGACGGAAGGGATGCTGGGGCCGTAATGCATGGGGGAGGCGTGAACTGAAGTTTAGATTGCAATATAAATTAATAGTAGAATAGCATTTGTTACGCGCTTCGGGGTGGGAGGAGGCAATGCTGATGGTCTGTGATTGTTGAAGATGTCCCTGCTCATTGCAGGGGAGTTGAAGTAGATGACCTTAAAGGTCCCTCCCTTATAACTGAAACTATTTTATGATTGTAAAATACTCCTCTGTGGTCTGCACCTACTTCCTCAGTGTTCTCTCTCTGATCTGTCCCTCCCTGAGGTCTCAGCTGGCAAGTCTTGTCATTGCAAGCATGAAACAATATCGTTTTCTCATGAAGATTTCAAAAAGATCTTCAGTTAAAATTCATAATGTTTTCCTTTTAAAAGAATGAAAAAACCCCAACCAATATTCTTTGAGAATTTATCTTCAAATCAGGTCAAACTTTTGCAAGACTAGTATTAACTCTGTTTCAGCTCTACATTTAATGGACCATTAGATGAATTAAGAGTTGCATGTGAATTTTTACTGGCCTAAGTTTATAGGGTCATTGGTAAGAGTGTGGGACTGTTGTGAATACAAATGCTATGTAGCTTTTAGTCTTAGTTGATTAGCTTAATTATCTCAACCTAAAATAAGAGAACTGTTTTGTTCTTGTTTCCCTGTTCTCCTCCCCCCCCACCCATGCTGTTACTGTAATTTCAAGAAGCTCAGCTTGAGTGCTAGGATCCCCACTCTGTTCAAAGCTGTATGAGAAGCAAAAGAATAGTATTGGAACAAAGAACTTATAGAGAACATGTACTAGACCAGAAATAGATGGGTAGATTTGCCACTGGGACATGGTGTGAACATACTAATCAACACAACAGTCTGTGTTCTTAATAAAAAGCTCCCTTAACTGCTTTGATATATATCAACATAATAGTAAAAAGATTTGGAGTAAAGAAAGATTTGAAGGGTGACTTGGAAAAATGAGGCAGTGTAATGAATGTTTGAACTACTTTCAGATACATGAGACACAATAGGATATAGCATGAAAGCAATTCATCATTTCAGATGTTGGAGGTGGAGACAGGTCCTCTGGAAGCTGAAACTTCCCTTTGCATCCTGACACGGGAACAGTAAAAGGATATGCAATTGAAGCCAAGCGACTTGTGTTTGACATAACAAAGAACATGACAAAAGTGCATATGGTCAAAGAGACAGGTTGGAAAGGGTTATTTCTGTAGTAGCTCTGTGAAGGGATGCAAACAGGGAAGATGGCACAGCCATATTAAGGCTTTTCGGTAGCTACAAGATGACGATGGTCTGAAAGAGATGAGCAGGAAGCTTAGTGCTGTGTACCAAAAATAATAAAATGGTTCATTTTAGCTTGATGTGATTTAGAGCGATAAATTGAAGGTGTAACGTTCTCTGGCATTGTGCCAGCATTTCAGGTAATACAGTGGTATTGTTCATGATTAAGGAAAAGAGGCAAAGGGAGAATTTGTGTTGGGTTATTCTTTAGTCACCTTGAGCTGACAGGTAGATATCCATGAGGAGCCACAAAGAGCATATGTTAAGGCTTTGGTCAAGAAGATACAAGTCTGTAGTCAATCTTAATGATCTCTCATAAACTTTATATATATAGATACATGCAATCATGTTAAAATAAGTCCCTTTCTTCTGCATATGATTGAAAACATGCAGAAATATTTTCCAGAATATCGGATCATTAATCTTGTTAGTTAAAATATACATTTTTAACACTAAAACCAAGGCAACCTTGAAGCCTAAAACCTGCAAGAAAATTAAATTTAATCTCTTAATTAAATGAGAATTGTTTCCTTCACTTGCTATGCTAAATTTATTAAAAAAAAAAAAAAAATTGAAACCCCAACCTCTAAATACCCCAACAAACGAAAGCCCACTTCACCTTTTGGACTAAAGTAGAATCTTCCTCATCTTGAAAGAGCTAGTTAAAATGTGTATTCAATTTCTTACCAGAAAAGCCTCTCTTTTCCATTAGTTTGTAGAGCTGGAGGGTAGAGGTTTTTCTGAATTGATAGAAGATGCAAGGAAGTACTAGTTTCAGTTGAAGCCATGGCATTCCAGAGCTTGCCCAACATCATTTGTTGCTATAGGCAAACTTCTGTGTAGTTATGAGGTAAAGGAGAAACTTGTATTCATTATTTTTTTTTATTAATAGAATACGTATCTTAAAATTTATTAACCTGTAGGAATTCTTTCATGTCTCCTCATACTTTATTTTCACATGTTTATTGTGAGTGCTGCACATCTTGGACTGGGTGTTGAGAATGGCGTTTCATCATTCCCACAGTTTGCTCTACAGTCTTGCAGTTGCTGAATAAGTTCCTATGTTCTCTGGCTCCCATATTCAAGTTGTTTTCCCTGGTGTGTTTTTCAATATTTTAAGGAGAAGTGTTTTGTTTAAGGAGAAGTGTTTTGTTTAAGGAGAAGTGTTTTAGTGACTGACAAGGGGTTCTTTGCCTACTACCAGCTTCCACACATGGTATTGCATTTTTTTTATTATTTTTTTCTTAATTAATCTAAACTTTTCAGTTTTCTTTTCCCCTTTTTTCCTCATGGGGGGCCTAAAATGTCTTTTGCTGTAGTTTGCTTTATCAAGAAGATTGTAACCCATCAGCTGTGTTAGCTCTTCATACATCAAAGCATAAGAGCAGTAGAACAAATTCTGTTAAAGGACATTTCATGTAATATGTGTTGGAGCTTGCTGACAGAAGGAAGTTGCCGAGTCCCGGAGTATAGATGATTCAGAAAAGGGAACTATTGGTCCTCTCCCCTTCTTATGAACTGTCACTCAGTAGAGTGGATAATGTTAACACCATTCTTTTATTGCTTTGCTCAGCAGTGAAATGGTTGCAAGTTTTAACTTACATGTCAATTTGTTAACTGTATTCAAATGAATGCATAGAATAAATCACACTTAGAACTGGTTTTGCAGTCCTGTGTTGAAATTGCTGACACAGATCAAAGATTTATTTTAAATTGAAAGCCTAATGCTTTACAGTGCCGAATGACCACCACCAGCTTCAAAACGCACAAAGAAAAATTTCCAGCTCTAATGGGTAAGGTATGACATTTGTGCGTGGAGGGGATTCTTGACGCTGGCATCAGGGAAGCTGTTTTAAAGATAACCTGAATAGTCCCAGCTTCCTTGGCTGCTCTAGCAGATACCATCGGACTTCGTCTTGTAGAGGGTTTTGTAAACTCGTCCTTAGTAACTTTTCCCTCAGGAAACTGAAGCTTTTGAAGATACCATGAAGAGCGCTGAATTCTTGGAGACTTCTGTCAGAAAAGCAAGTTTGGTGTTTGAAGCCAGTCTGAATGGCGTACTTTACTGGCAGCGTTACGCCTGTTCCAAGTAGTTTGCCAAAGCTCTACAAATTAAGTCCGTCTATTTTGCGTGCATTTTGGGAGTTACTGCTCACACACCATGACATCACAATCCCTGCGGATTCCTCCTCCGCAGCCCGCACCCCCGGCACCCCGGCTGTAGGCGGGGGTCTCCTCTCCTCCCCAGACGGGACGTGCCCACCCCAAGACCCGCCGGGGCGGCGCGAAGGCACCGCGGCACCGGCGCTGGGACACCTCCCGCCTGTCCCCGCTGCGGGGCCCCCATGGTGCGGGGGGTGGTGGGAGGGGCCGGGCCGGGGGCGGGTCCCGGCGGGGCAGGGGGCGGTGCCGCAGCCTCCCCCCGCTCGGCGGCTCGGGGGCGCCTCGGCCGCGCTCTCTGCGGCAGCTGCGGGCGGGCCATGGAGGGGAACAGCCTCGGCGTCCTGAGCCTCGGCGTGCTGCTCCTGGTCGCCGCCTCGGCGGGTGCGGAGCCGCCGCCGAGCTGCGAGGCGGTCCGGAAAGTTTTCCAGCTGCGGCGGCTCGGCCCCCTCGGCGGCGTCCCGGAGTCCCCGCGGGCAGGTAAGGGAGAGCTGGGGGGGCAGGAGGCACCCGGAGCAGCGGGAGCCGGGGGGCTGCCCTGCCGGGGTGCGGAGACGGTGGGTTTGAATTTGGTGCCGCCGCCGGCGGTGCCGCGAACCCGTGGGCACCTCGGGTCACCCCTGGCCCGGGGAAACGGGTTCCGTAGCGACGTCGGGGGTGGCTGGGCGGGATGCTTGGCCCCTCGCTCAAGAGAGAAAACGCTCTTCTCGGGCTGCGGGCACTGAAGCACCCTGACACCTGCGTAAAACCCCCTTGTGCCCACCCACTTCCATGCCGTATCGCGCAGGAGAGCGAACTTCATCTGGGGCTCACCCTGCTTCCAGCCGCCCGTGGGCAGGCACAGGTACAGCGGTGCCGGCGCGAACCCTGAAGATAGGGGAGAGCCACTGAACGGCGTCTGGGGCTGGTGGAGTTACCTGGTGTGAAATGAGAATGATTTACACCGCTGCGAGTGGTGGGGCTGCGCGTTTTCTCTGCTGGATATCTGCCTGTCGCTGTAATGGAAAAAAAATTCCCGGGAAAGTAATGTCTTAAAGAGTAATTTGAGTATATCTAGCATTTGTATCAACAACGAAACTTTTCCTTTAAGAGTGCATCAAATGACATTGCAAAGCTTGTATGTAATAAGATGTACCTCCTTAGATCTGAGGTTTGTTACCATCTTCATGAGAACCTCTGTTGGCTTCAGTGGTACTAATCACAAAATTAAAATGCAGTTATTTTCATCATCAGAGATGTACATATCTATAAGATATGTTCATGTTTGGATGACAGTCAACTAGTAAATGTGTATCAATACTTTCTTGACAGAAAATTATTTCTGAATGTAACAAAAGCTGAAATAATGTCCCCCTCACTTTAAAATATCAATAGCATCATTCTTTTTCTTAAAGATAATCTGTGTAGTTTTTATTAACTATGCAAGTTAAGGCATACTGAATTTATTTTAAAGGAATCCTTTCAAAATACAGCTTTTAAATGGCTCTAGTTTAAAGCATGACAGATAATTCTAAACTTGACACAGTTGTGTGCAGTTTAAAAATCAAAATACTATATTTAAAAGATTGCCAGTACTTTTGACAACAAGTTGTCTTCTTATGGTGTCGTTGGCTAAAGATTTTTAGTTGTCTTTACTAAAAAGAAAATAAACACTTTAAATGGAAAGCCTGATTAGACAGGAACTGTGCAAGTGAAAATGTCTGGAAAGTGAAATCTGAGTTAAAGCCCTGTCAGGGGCTTATTTTTTTGGTGCTATTTGTGTGAATAATATCAGCATGAATTATATGTTATCTGTTTATATGTGTGTGAACATATGTATATATTCTGTATCCTAGTATAACTACTACAATTTCTCTTTCACTGCCATTTATTTCGAATACCATACATTCACTTGTGTACTAGGATAGGGAGGAAGTGTGTTGCTTCGAGAGGAAAGAACTACTACGGTACCTTATATATGTTTCTTTTGCTCGGCTCTTCTGATTTCCCTTCCCCTATATTTTTATACTACCATTCACTCTCATTTCTTTTGACTTTTCTATGTTTTCTGTTTGAAGCAAAAGCCATTTCTGAATTATAAGAATAATAAAAGAATTCCTTTCTCTGCTGCTGCCCCTGCAAGCAGCGGGCAGCAGGAGGTGCAGTACAACTGCGTGGTCAGCAGCCTTTCACTCTTTGAAGGAATTGCATTGCTGTGGGCAGCCTGGAAGACACCATCCCTCAAGGAGCCCTGTTCGAGTGTCAGAGTCATTGCTCTGAGTAGCACCGGTCTCAGAGATGCATGCAACAAATAACTGCGAAGAGTAAAACCTATCCTGAATTGACAATGACAAAAGTAATGGAGATAAAATGAGTATTTTAGAAGGTTTAGGTGTGATTAAAGGTTTTCATAGGCTGAAAACACAATGTTAAGAGCAAAGAAATGTCACTTTTGCTACTGATCTTCTGTATTAAGTCGTCTTTAGAGGCAGGGTGTAAAAATATTTTAAAACCTGTTCTGATGGCACTTTAGCAATGTGTTTGTGTAGAAGACACACACATGCACAGATACAACACAGACACTTTTTGTCGGTGTCCACTTACAAAAATAGGTGTCAAAATTGCCTTTATAAGGTTTAATTTGGTTGCTCAAATATAAGCATCTGGCACCATTTGAGTTTTCTTACGGTTTCCAGAATGTCTCATGGGGCCAACAGATAACAATACCTCAGAGAGATTTATGTCTTCCTGGAGCGGCAGCGAGTGGAGGGTGGGATACCTTTGGCATCTCAGATGCTCCCTGTGGGCAAGCACAATGCCCAGCCAGTGCAGCCTGTGGCATCCAGGAGCCAGTCAGTTATCATCAAGTATTGGTGCTGACTTCTGAACAAGCTGCATAATGCCTCTATTTCATTGCCTCTACATCTTTTTTTTAGTGGTAGCTTAGACCTAGTTTATATAAGAACACTTTAATTTAAATGTCTTAAACTGAGCCACACCTTTTGGGTGGAGTAAGATTGCTAACTAAAGAAGAGCAGGAGTATTAGTTGGTGTGTGGATTTGTATACAGTGGAAGGCTACCTCTACAGTCAATAAAATTATAGGGCTTGTACTGGTCTTGTGTTCATTGCATGTATTAAAATAAAAAGGCTGTACCATTCATATTGGTATTTTTTCTTCTTCTTAGTAGTAAGAAAAACTAAGCAGCCTTATATCAGTAAGTGATGAAATTTTAATTCTGTTTCATTTGGGGACTGCCACGTCTCTGTATTTTGAATATATGTTAGCTCAAAACATATGCATTATTTTATATAATTAGTTTTGCAGCTGTTATATGTAGTTTGTGTATGTTTAAAAGAGAAAAAAATACCTCTGTCGTCATATGTAGAAATGCCAGACATATGTGTGAAGGTGATCTTGAAGCATATGGGAAGTACAACTTTGTGTTGTCGTTCACATAGCACAAGATATCATAGTGTTGAAACTGGCAACTAATGATCAAAATGAATTAATATAGTTACCAAACCTAAGATTTTTATTGCTACTCCCAGCAGTCAAGACACCTGACTAACTGTTAGCAGTCTTTTGTAGATGTGATTTGGGAACTCGTAGTACAGACTTATGCTCAGTCCCATCACATGCTATACTGAAATATTTATCTCTTTCATACTGATTTTAAATGTTAGTTGCAAAAGTACTTTATTTTTTTTTTCCTGTCTGGTTCTGTGCTACAAGTGCAGTGTTGGTGGAACTGTACAGAGAAGCCTCAATAATTAAAAATCCTAAAAGACACTTTTTGGTGTATGGAGAATCAAGAATCAAACAATATGCAAAGCATGAAATAAGTATAAAAAGGTCTCTAAGGTTAGATTTGGGGGTTTTATTTTGTTTTTGTGGATCAGTATGACTTGGATTATTTTGAAAAAAATGTTATATGTTAAATACTGGTTTTTAAACATTTTTGAATTTCATATGCTCAATTTCTGTATTGTAACCTAATCAACTTTCTTGATGAATTCCACTCTTTTACGCTATATATGCAAGTTAATTGATTTCTGCAACTCATGTTTCTGACAGGTTAAATGGAAGCTCTGAGCTCTCCATGTTATTTTGGTTGCAAATAATATTTCTTTTCTGGTTTTCTTCTCTCAAAATACATCGAACAGAGAAGTTGTGGATGGCCCATCCCTGAAAGTGTTCAAGGCTAGCTTGGATGGGGCCTTGAACAACCTGGTACGGTGGAAGGTGTCCCTGTCCATGGCAGGAAGGTTGGAACTATACCATCTATAAGGTCCCTTCCACCCCAAACCATTCTATGATATGATCCTGTGAACAACAGAATAGGATGAACAGTAAACCATGCACTCTTGCCTTTTTGACAAAGGACTTTCAGTAGGTATGTCAGTGAACAAACTTTCAGGCATCTCTTTGCACCAAAAAGCTTATTGAAAAATGTTAGAATTGAATCTGTAGAATCAAACAATTCCCAGTGAAGTGGGGAAAAAATGGGTTGGAGATATTTGTTTTCTCAGCAGTTTGCTTGTTTGTTTGATTTCTGTTGGTTTGCTTTTTGGGGTTTATTTGTTTTTTTTTTTTTTTTTTTTTTTTTCAGGAATCAGTCTAGGCTTTTTATCAAAATCTGGGAGATTATGTGTGCAATTATGAGAACAGGAAGCACAAAAGAGAGTGAAGACTGTGATTAGTATAAACTTTATTGCAAAGGCTTTTTGGTAGAGAATCATTATGAATATGCAGTTGAATAAGTGAGAAAAACTATGCTGGAAGGATGAGATAATCTCAGAAAAAGCTGATCTGTGATACACTTATTAATTCAAGTGAAAATATTCTTGCTAATTCCACTTAAAGTAACAATGGAATTCAGTCTGAAATCCAGAACAGGTTACTTTGATGCAATTCCAAGATCATATTTGAATTTTAATTTGGGTTTCTAGTATGATTTACATTCAGGTAATTTGGATTTTTGTTCTATCTCAAGTGAAATTAAGATTTGTTTGGTGTGTGCAGGCAGGGGCACTTCTAATTACTCTATTTAACTGATATTCAGAGCTCTGGAAAGAGAATTAGTCAGAGACAGAAAGTGAGTTGCTTTGTCATATCAGTAACTGATGCCTGGTTTTGTAAGGACTGTTACCAACAACATAATTTTGTGTATGTGTGAACATTTCACCTCTGGATCCACAAAATTATCCCCGTGAAAATATTTTTACAATATTTTGAGATTAAAGCCAAGAAAAAAATGAGCTCAACAATGTAGCAGCTTCCCTATCTCCATCTTCCATCTTTCAGCTTCTCTAGGAAGTCATCAGTGCTCAGTAGCCTTAGGACTTGATCTGACTGGGATGACCTGAAAGGTGTTGTCTGTACTGCTCAGTAGATGACAGAGGATCAACTCCTGGTTCTCATGGCGAGTGGAATAGACTGGCTCATGTCTACATTGCTCAAGGCTGGTGTCCTGCAAAAGGGATGGACTGTCCTCGCTT